CAGTACAGTACAGTACCGAGAGCCGTGCTGCCAGTACAGTATATTCCAGTATCGAGAGCTGTACTGGAGAGTGCAGTATTTTTATTCCAGTATCGAAAGCTGTACTAAAGCGTGCAGTATTTTTATTCCAGTATCGAAAGCTGTACTAAAGCGTGCAGTACAGTATATTATGGCCAAAGGTACTGCAATACTGAAAATACTGGCAGTATTGTACTGTACTAAACCTGCCCGTGAAAGATTGAAACGCAGCCGACCAATTGCACCAAAAAACCTCTGGGGTTTGCAAGTCGAGGAACGTGGCGTACCAAATCGTACGTGCGCCACCCTCTGCCGTCGAAAGACGAAATACCAACACCTTTGTGTCTGCACCCCACATGCATCAAGTTACCGAAACGCCTCAGAGTACGGCGGCGAAATAAAGAAGAGAGAGGCAACTCCGCCGCCGGTGACTGTGGCAAAAGTAGACGTCCAATAGACCGGGCAAATAACGAAAAAGCTATGTAGCTCTTGCAAGGCACGTGTCTACTATGCTCCTGCAGCACGCCGCGCCATTGCTCACAAGCCTAATCCCTCGACTCCGACACCACCCATCGTAAACTGCGCGCTCCCCACCTAGAGGAAACGGAAAGCCGGGATCCTCAACGTTGTCGATGCACTCTAAACTCTTTGTGTCCGCAACCCCAACCCCGTCCACTAACCTCCGACATGGTTCCGATGTACTGGATCTCGCAGCATTCGCACCAGCCTCCCCGGCGGGGCTTCTGCGAGCCGGCCGGCGGCATTCTCGCTGCAACCTTTGCCCCGACGCATTGAGCGTCCTTTTTCTTCATCTTGAGCACCTCGCGGTCCCACTGTTTTGTTGCCCAAGCGCAGGGAGGAAGGGGGGAACAAACCACAGAGATCGGGTTCTGGGCTTGCTCGCATGGGGGGTGCGTCCGTGCGGTGCCACGAGCTTCGAGGCGTCATCGGAAACGAGCGAAACATTCAAAGGTAAGAGCGCCAGGCGATTTGTACCGTTGTACAGCAACACCTCCTCCTCCAGAAGAACAAAAACACCGTTGCTACTGTTGCTGCCAAGTTGTGCGCCGCGCCTCCGCACGCCTACGGCCACTCGAGGACCGCCTGGAGTGGTACCACTGGGACATCACAGCCGCACCATCATGTGTGTCTCATCTTTGCGAACTTGCCTGCTCTCGAGGGGTAAAGGGACAGATTCCCGGCGGGGCGTCCGTGTGAAGAAAACACTTGCGCAAAAGCTCCGGGGGGAATGCCTGCATTCACAGGGGGAGGAGGAAAAACGACGGGGAGGAGGCGGGGAGGGTAATCAGGAGACAGCATCATACCAATAGGGATCGGGTCATCCATCCCAGGCATGCGCCCACGCCGCGCAAGACCCAAAACCGCCCCGGGGTGTCGCCGTCCCAATGCTCACCTGCACCCGATCAGGCTCCAATCCATCCAAGTCTTTGATCACGACCCGCGGGTGCTCCCGCGACTTGAACCTGCTCGCGCCCGCCGCACGCTGCTGCCCACCACCGCCGCGGGACATCAAAGGGCGATCGGCTGTCTCCTTCCCCTCGACCGCCACCGCCGCCCCTGCCGCCGCCGGCACCCTCCCTCCTTCTCCTCTGCCGGCCCCCCGTTTGGACTCCTGCCGCCCGAGCCAGAGCCGGAAGGCCTGCCCGGTAACGACGGTGGCGCGCAGCTGTCGCGCCTGGTCCACGATGGACGTGTGCGTTTGTCGCCCCGGCTGTGCGCTGAACTCGGTTTGAGCCTGAGTGACCTGGGTTTTGGTACATACGGTACGCGACACGACGCCCCGGGGCCAACGATTCTTTGTCGCGTCTGTGGTACGTGATTGGGCGAATTCTTTCGGAACGACAAACAACGCGGCTTTCGCGCAAAGTATTTGTCCGCTTTGTCTTGATGGGAGATCTTTGCACTTTCGTGCCAAAGCGTTCGCGGTTGTTTTTAGTAGTGGAGAAATTGGCTGCACTGGCCGCATTCCAAAGTGTGCGCTGCATGGTTGGTGCCATGCGTTGTACATGTCAACAGCAACTCGTCGCCAAAGCCCGAAAGCTGGACAAGCGGTACTGCACGTGTTCACGACCCCGCAAAGGTGGCTTGCCGCGCCCTGGTTCCTGCCACAAGACCTATCTTACCATTCGGTGAATTCGGCTTAAACGCCGGCCGCGCAACTGACGCGCCCCGCCTACCGCCCCCGCTGTCGCTGTCGCTGCATCTTCACTCGCTCCCCCGTCCCCCGCCGCGGGGTTTGTTGATGCCGCAACGCATACCGTGACCCCCTCGCCTAAGAAGCCTCTCGTCTTGAAGCCCAGTCGCTGGGCTCTTGACGACAGGCTGCCGCACCCTTCAACGCGAGGATCTACGTAGAACGTTTCCTAACACGCAGACCACAACGAGCGGAAGTGTGTGGAAGAAGTTGGCGTTAAGGGATGTAGCAAGGGGGTCGGGCCTCACGGTAAGCATCTACGGAGGATGAGTACGAAACATCCACGAGACGCTCGGTGGCAAGAAGGACAGCTTCATCAAAGATCGAAGATCGGATGTTCTATATTTCACGGGGTATGGGTACACTGTACAGTGTCTCTTGATTTGTGTGATGCATGGAGAATGCTGTGCCTCCTCCATGTCTTGGCGTAGATATCTTAGCGAGCCTTTGAACGGGTTGACCGGTGACGAAGGACGTGTCAACCAACGATAAAAACACTGACGGATGGCATGAGAATAACACGTCGTAGGTAACTCTCCCGAAGACAGGACAGCCGACGAGCTGGGTTTCAACAGAAAAACAGCGGTCCCGACAACAGCAATTGCGAGAGTGATCATAAAATCCCAAGACTGACTTCCGTAGCTCTATTGCTCCACAACCAAAAGGGGGCTCGTTAACCGGGCGGTGGGAGTACGAAACGCTCGGCGAGATATTTTTTCTACGGCAACCCTTTTCCAAACGGTGACCTCTCCGGTGCGTAGCAATCGAGCTATGACAGTCGGTCTAAGGGTGTTACGATCACTCGCATAGGTACGGCGGTACACATGACGTGTAACTGGGGGCATCGGGAGACGACTCTTACTGTGGGGCCACGGTCGTACTTCACAACGTGTGGAGGAGGTTGGCAGACAGTTGGCGGTACAGGGTACAGTGGAAAGCGACTTGATGCCGGGCCCAAGGCCAAACAAAAAAAAAACACCTGCATGTACAAGTGGCAATGTTTGCGAAGTACAAGAACATTCATCACGGCAGCTCTCCCAGTCACGTACAAAGTGTATTTCGGGATGGCCTTTGGACGAAATTGGGGCTGCCAACAGCTGTGAGGAACAGGGCAGAGTGTTGTCATCCCACACTTCATTTATTTTGGGCGTCAGTCAACACCATTTGGTACATGTTTGGCGCACCAGCCGTGGCTACCCAGGAGGAAGAAGGTAAAGGCGGCGTATTTCTGACCTTTCTTCTTTCACCCTTCCCACCGGTGATGTAAAAAAATTGTGCCCAAGCAAAATAAATTCGAAAAATGCTCGCAACCAAGCTCGCAGCCACCATATAGGTCTATGACCGATAGAATTGGCGTGTTCCGAAGTATGATAGGCAAGTATATATTAACAGGACCAAGTGCGCTTGTTATGCAAAGGGCACCACAACGCTGGACCATTTTTTGAAGCTCGGTTACTCCACGACGAAGAGGATGCCAAAATCACACGAAGCCTTTCCGGAATGCTCTCGACGACACGGTTCCAACACCGCTATTTTCGGCGACGTCAGTGCTGTTTTTGCTGCAGGCTTTGTCGGGAATTGACAATCGGTCCGGGGTTTCGTGGAATCTGATGCAACCACCTACCGACAGTCTTGTCTGCCAGAAGTCAGCACCAAGCTCGCCTTTGTAGCTTGAGAACCTGCAAATGCTTGACGGTGCCCATTGGCTGATGAAAGTGGCTTACAGCACGGACCGTGCATTGAGACTAATGTCCAAGATGCAACAGCCTTTCAAGACCTTCGTTGCCTGGTGGAAAGTTTGAGGTTGTGCACGAGTTTTCGCCGCCAAAAACACAAGGTGACGGCAAAAACGCGCGCGTTTCCATTCCTTCACTGACCTGCGTGGAGAATCCCATAGTTTCCATCGAAGCTTCCCTTCCCTCCTCTCCAACGTAGAGTGGATACCGCCTTGCTAAGCGGACAGCGAAGAGTTGTGCTTCCTCTCTGTACGCTGCTGATGAACATCGCACATCATTTACCTACGCCTTGTTACCTGGTGTCGTTTTTGAAAAGTGGACATGGAAGGCGTTTTTTTGGTTTGGTCGTGAACCGCAACAATTTGGACCGGGGGAACCTGGATCCTGGTGCTGCTGTGCGCTGTGCGCATTTCGTATGCTTAGTCCGCAGTCACTCTCGGATTCTCGTCTCCACACACATGTACACGGCGATTGAGAACGATTGTTTCTTGTGTGCACTCAGTAAGACGAGGGAAGGGGCTGCCGAACCCTAGACTCCCTCGCGGTCAAAATCGAAGACAACGAAGACAGGCAGGGGGCGGTGGGACAATGACGTCCCATCTATGTGATCGTGTCATCCCGACTGAAGGTGCAGTTGGAATTGTGTAGACTGGCGCCGGAAAACATGGGACGAACACAAAGAAAGACCCACAAACCCACAAACTGGGAGGATTTCTTCGATGCGCCCCCGAAAACTATGTTGACGCTTACAGGAAGGCGCATCGGATCTGCGATCTTTCGTTGTTGATGCGTTCGTTTGTTCCTTTGAAAAAACAAGTGGTTGCGCCAACACAGAACCTGAGCGCCACTCTCATTTGAGGTGGGCACAAGTTTCACCCTCGAACCCATGGAACGTGGATGAATGGTTGAGGCGTCGTTGTCTCTAGCTCTGCGCCTACCGCCGTCGAACAAGGCGCTAAAAATCTACGCGAAGCAGGACAATATTGCAGAGGTTGGCCGCCACCACCCACCCATGTGATGCCTCCTGCAATGTGCCCGCAACCTGTCACAAGGTGGACAAGCACTTGCTGCCGCTGATCTTGCCAAAACAAAAAATCAAACCGATTCGTCTACCCATGGCGACGTCACGAACCAGGCAACACCATGACTCTGTAGCCCACAGAACGAAATCCCTGGCATCTTGATGACGATTTGGACAGCCTGTTTATCGCGGATCGTCCAACTCCAACCGGTCAACAAGCCAAAAATGACGTGGACGCCTCCGGTTGGAATCTAGAGTGAAAAAATATAGACCAACTCATCGGATACGTGTGTACAAACAATACCCGTGACCCTCCGGCATAAAAACTGTGTGGTGCGCTATAGTAACTAACAATATCTCCGGCAGTGTGACCGTGTCCACCTGCCGAGAACATCAGTACAACAAGGCGACATCCACGTTGCAGCAGCTCGACCTTGCGAGGAAATAAAATGCATCCATCGTCCGAGCTTGAACATCGGGAGGAACATTTGCCACGCACGTGGGTACACTTCACAGACACGCCGCTCGTGCTATGGTAACCTGTCTGGACGGACGGGCAGATGTAAGGCCCGTCCGATGTACTTACCTACCTCCATCGGACCACCATTCAGCATCCATGCTAGATTCAGGCCCACCCACTGGCTAGCCCTCTCGACAAACGCGCGCTTTCCCCACCCCGACGACGCCCCACGCCATGATAAAATCCCACACAAAAGAAAACACCCTTTCCCCCAAACGTCCATTCGCATCGGGAATCACAGCTCCCCCTTGAACAGGCCCAACACGCTGTCCTTGACGTCGTCAAGCGCCTCCAGCGGGTTCTCCCCGTCCTTCGCCTTCATCGCGGCGAAACCGATGACAAAGGCCAGGAGGAAGTACTTCAACAGCGACAGCAAGCACACCAGGAGGTACGCCAGGACTGACGCGGTCCCGATCGAGTCGATCGTATACGCCATACGCCACACCCCTCCGTGGAACGACCCGAAAGAGAAGAGCTGGAGAGGGTTCTTAAGCGGGAGCGTGGGGTTGGAAGGGGTGGCGGGGTCGGCCACGTCGCGCAGCAGCAGCGCCCCCATGACCGCGTTTGACGTCTCCTGCTGGAACACCTGGAGGGAGCGAGTTGGATCTGGTGAGAAACGTTCCGGATACATAGCCAAACAAACGACCTACAAGATGCCCTTATGTGCCCCCCCGTAACCGCTTGGCCTATAGAGAGCAGCGCTCACCTCCATAGGCTGGAAGAAGTGCATGCCCCCGTAGGCCATCGCGAAGAGCCTGTTGGACACGACCGAGGCCGTCGCCGTGGACGGAGCGATGTTGCTCGACACCTTGCACCGGTGCTCCTGCCTCGCCACCACCGCCCGCCAGTGCTGCATCCGCTTGGCCAGCGCGTAGTTGGGCCCCTGCTTGTTCACGAGCCCGTCCACGAGGTACAAGCTGCCGCCGTCCGCGCCCACTACAGCGGGCTTTACGTTGGACGTCAGGGTCATCGCCAGGTTGCACGTGATCTTGCAGAGAAGGTTCACGAGACCCAGAGACCGGGCCTGGCTGGCGGCGGCGTCGTGGGCCGCCGAGGGGATGACGTGGACGTCCGTCGGCGTGCAAAGGTATGCCGGCTGGGATTTGGGGGGGGAAGGACAGAAGCGGGGCGCGAAAGGGGACCATCAGTGCGCGACGCGAACAATTGTTTTATGGGACGCGCGCCCGGGCGGGGCGAGGGCTCATTTGGTCTCGTCAAAAATGGTCTGTTTGACAACAATACGGCAATTGGACTGTTGATCACAAAGAACTGTCAAAGATGGTATGCAGAGATGGAGAATCATGCACAGATTAAGAGGCATTCTTGGGCGATTTGGTTGGAATCTCTCGGTTGTTGACGACCCAACCAGTTCTCAAGCACGCTTGCCCATTCTACCTTCAACACCTGAAGACCACCAGCCAACGAAAAGCTTTGGACAGATGCTGCAGGTACAGCAGTGGGGTCCTTCATTGGATAGTGCCACTGCCCGTCCTACATGACGGTGACATCGCACTACAAGGATGAAACCTTCAAGTTGCCTCCTTCTCTCAACATTGCTGGCGAATCTGACAGGCATACACCGGCACTATTGACGGACCCCACTGCTGTAACTGATATCGCAACTGTGGCAGCGTCCGCCGCTCACCATCACGTCGCGCCGCGACTCCGTCAGCCCCTTCACGATCGCGTCCATGGCGAGAGACAGCCGGACGTGCAGCTCGCCATCCAGATAGGCGTAAGAACCCACTACAAGAGGCTTTTCTGGGCTGACCGTCTTCAGCCTTTGGATTAAAAAAAGGCAAAAAAAACAGCAGCCGAGTTGAGTAGGGGTCTGGTGGCGCCAGGGTGTTCTTGAGATGCACAGAACTGACATGGAGTGGTTTAGGGTGTGTGCAGTGTCACCCCTTACGTTTCACATAGAGCCAAGCAATAATGAGAATACCATGCTGTCTGAGTGGACGGGTGCGACAAGAAGTGCATGTTCACCGGCATCACCGAAGGGGAATTCACCACACAACCACAACGTCTACACCGGTTGCGTCCGCCCAAGCTCTGTACAGTTCCCGCACCACCATCTTTCTCCTATTCCCAGCGCCAACGCCCTCGTGCTTTATCTTCTTGGGGTTTCCCCCATCTTCCGCTGCCCCCTCACCAGTTCAAAATCTCCGGGGTGTGCGCCAGGAGGTTAGCCCCGGCCGCCGCGCACAGCTCCTCCCTGCTAGACAGAGACGCCTGCGGCTTCCCCGCCTTGAGCGGGAAGATCATCGTCCCGCACGAGTTTTCCGCCAGGCCTAGCAACCGCTGCCAGATCCCGGGACGATCCAAGTCGATCGCCACGATGTTGGCGCCGAGCTCCAGCAGCAGCTTCAGCGGACCCATGGCCGAGCCCGCACCGAGAAGAACGAAATACCTGTCGCTCAGGTCCCTCCACTCCCCCTTCTGGGAGACGTCTTTGATGGCGGCCCCCGCGCTGGGCTCGATGGTGCCGTAGGAGACCCACTTGTCCACCTGGTCTTCGAGGGCCTTTCCCGTCAGGATCTCATCCTTGTAGGGCACCTGCGTGTGGAGTGGGTGTGCGTCGCACAGGCACAAGAGGAGAGGAGAGGTGCGTGAGCGCCGAAAATGGTTGTGTTGCTTGAGAGTCCAGGCGCCGTCCCGAAGGCTTGCTTGCGCGTCATCGTCAGCGTGTTGTAAACTTGCTGCGGTCGGGAGAGTGTCAGGGTGTGGCAATGGCGTGGTTTTGTGTTGCCTCTGATCCTTTGCGCTATTTCATGCCCGGATTAAATAATCTCCGGCATGTATGAAACAAGTACAAACGAGAAGACTGTTGTTCTACCGCCGCATCTGCCTTGAAAATATCTCATAAAATATCTCGACAGCAGTACCCAAACGTGTGTCCTGTGTACGGTGTTGTTAAGCCCGCGTGCTTAACTATTTGTTCAGACATGGCCATAGTACACGTACTACATCCGTTTCTTGAGTTGCACAAGCTTGAAAATGCGCTGCATCTCGCCGTCGATATCTGGATCCTCCGCCTCCCCACAAGTGTCGTGCGTGTGTTCGTCCACAACTGCCACCATGACCAATCATGCTCCTCCGTGGGATCCAGTGCGACAGTCGGAAGATTGCGCGCAGCTCTTCATCGCGGCGCACGGCATGGTGCGTTGATGTGTGCGGTGCAAACCGCGGTGTGTGCCTCTCTTCACGCGTGCATGAAGGACAGATCTCCGCAACACATAGAATCTATGACCGATATTGCTATGCACAGCTGAAAAGAGCTCAAGAAGTTGCCATCGTGGGGGCGACCCGATCATTCGACTGTTATACCCGCCGTGGAGCGGTGCCACGAGGTCAATCCTGTGTTGTGTACAGCGTTAATTGATGCCACTTTACGAAACAGTCGCTCCCTCAAAGTTTATGCACTTGGGTGTTGTTTTTCCCTCTACTCGAAAGGTAGACATGGGACCCATGGAAATGTGGACTACGGCTCGAAAAGTGGGGTAACGGCAAATCGGCCGCGATCCCTCTGACGGCATGACGGCATCCATGTTTTTTTTTGTTATGGCGGCGATGCAGAACAGAAGGAGTGACTTGTGTCGCTCGTTACCCCGCATACAGACGTGCATACCAGTCTAGCTCACGGTTCACGGTTACTGCTGTACAAAAAATGTACATTTTATGAATGTCTCCAGAATGGGTGTCGGGTGCTCTCTTCAATAGATCCAAATCTCTCCGCGCGTTATCATCCTCCAGATCATCATCGATCGATGCACTACTGCTGTGCATACATGCACGCGACTGGTCAACACCCAACCAAACAACCTACAAATAATCTTCAATGAGCATCGAACATGGGGCCTCCGTATGTTCGCTTCCTCGAATCAAGTGCATTGAGGTGGAAGAAGATCTATGAGGAGCAGGGATTTTTCTTGGATTGTCCGCTTATGGCGCATTCGAGTGCGAAAATGATGGCGAAAGCAACACATGAGCGCTCTCCTGCTGGGACGCAGCATGAGCAGCCGACATTTCCAATGAAGATCAGCCAATCGAGAAACGCCGCTACTTGTGCAGCAGTGGCGTGTGCAACACACATGCGGACGCACGCCCCCAACACTACAAAAGTTGCCAACAGCACTTGTAGCAGCAGTCGTATGCAACTCATCGCGCCCAACACACACACATGGCATCGCACCTGCAACACTGTCTCCGTGGGCTTGGGCTTGGTGCCCTTGATGACGGCGGTCTCGAAGGACCCCGTGATGCTCGACATGGCCGCGGCGAGCTTCATGCTCTTGCCCTCCCGCACGAACTCGAAGTTGTTGTGCACCCACTCCAGCCCTGCCTTGCTGCTGGCCACGGCGGCCTCCTTGCTCTGCAGGCACGCCTCCACGTGCTTGTACACGTACTTGGTATACTTCTGCCGCCAATTGCGCTCGTCCAGAACCCTCTGCGCCAGCGCGGGGTCCACAGCACCGATCGCCGCTGCCAGCGCCTGCTTGTTCGCCCACGTGGTGCTGCGGTCGCCGGCTTTCTTGGAGTTCGGCACGAGCGGCCACACCAGGCCGTCCAGCGGACGCGAAGACGGCGGCATAGTTATGGTTGAGTTTTATCCGGCGTGGTTGCTCTGCCTTTCTCGCTGCTGCTGCGGTCGTTGTGATTGCCTCGAAATGTGCGCGCACACACCAGCATCCCGGCGCGTTGGATGTGGATCTCCTCGAGGGGGGCCTGTGAATGATACATTCATAATAGTGCCCCTTCGAAATTGTTGATTGATGCGGCGGGGACCCCATTACTGGCATCTGCGTTGTGGCGGCACTACACAAGAACAAGGCCAAGGAAGTCCCAACTAGACAAAAGGCAGCAAGAAACCAGCACTACAATGTCTTCCGCTGCAGCTGGAGGCTCGCGTGCCCTTCACTGGGTAAGATGTTTTGATTTCTTGTGTGTATACGCCCCCAATCTTGACAGCAGCAATCGGCGCTGCTTGCTGTGGAATCGGTCCGCACGTCCTGCGGCTTATGTCCCCTCATCATGTTCACGTGTTTCTCGAGCCTCCCTGGCGGGTGTGTCTAGAGCAATACATGACCAAGCCATTTGAAGCGATGACTACGCTCGTTAAGATGCCGGTTGAATCCTAACGACTGATATGTCCCTGAGTTCCCTGCACTTCGATGGCAGCAGCAGCGCTCTCCTCCTGGTCGATACATATCTTTCTCGGATTTGACGACAAAAGCGTGACTCTACTTTTAGCAAGAGTGGTGCTGCTGCTGCGAACGTCTGCCCACGTGTGATGCGGCCATGCAAAGCAGCGCGTTCTTGGTGGTTATAGTCCTCTGCTTCCCTTAGGGTTCAACTGTTACCGGACGCTGATGGTGCTTGCCGGACCATGCCTACGGCTCGCAACTGCTAACATCCACTCCATGTCGTCTAAAGGTGACGGCAGGCATGAAGAACAGCCCGCGTGCCACTTGCTGTTGTGCCGTTGTTGACTTGCTGCACCCGCCGCGGTATAGCTCTGCCGCGATGCGTTGTGCGCTCGGAATCTATTTACCACGGTAGATGACTAGCCTCTAAGGCAGATGACACTGATAAACATGTGACCATGATAGTAGAGCGACAGTCATTAACAACATTCGAAACATTCAGCGCAAACCTCGAAAAGTTGTTGCGTGTTGGCTCCGAATACAAACCTCCGTGAATCTTCTCTTTACCCACCACCACACCCATAAACAGCCCTCAGTTTCCAAACTTGGTGCTGTTCTCTTGTTTGCCAACGTGCCACTACAGTACGCCCAAGTGCTGAATGATTTCATCCGACGGGTCTGCTACCCTCGATGTTCATCGAAATGCCTCGATGCTAATCGAAATTCCAGTGTCCGTCCTTCAGGTGGCAGTAGAGAAAAAACCCTGCTGTCAACACCAGCGCGGCATACAGTACGACACGGACGGTGCTGCTTACCCGTTTCAGCCCGTGGCCCCAGCTATGCGTGCACGTGTAGCCCTGTTGTATGCATAGATGCATAGCCTTCAAGCGTGACAGCGGGCCACCCACTATGTGGCACAACAGTGGTGTATTGCAGGACACGTTGTTGTTGTTGTTCCTCACATTAGCTCTATTGTCAACAAAAAATGGGGAGCCCGTGGTCTCAAAACCCAGAACATACGACGCCGCGAGAAAAAAAAAAAAATAGGGTACAAACCACTCGGAAAGAGAAAACAAAATGATCGAAAGAAATGAACAGGTATCGCACCGACCGTTCGAGAAAAGAGCCCTCGGACACCGATCAAAATAAAACAAAACAAAAATAACAGATATATACAGGAGGACGCTTCCCACACCCGCCGAAAGAAAAAATCAAAGGGGAACGTACCAGCACCAGGCACTGCGCACCAGGGCATGGGAGTAACGGAGCAAACAGGACAAAGAGGCGGCAGATGGGCAGACAGCCAGACGTACAAAAACAAAGGCAACAGCAAAGCGAGATCAAGGTACCCAACACAGCAGAGTAGGCAGGGAGGTCATGAAAAAACGAAACACAGCACAGAGGCCGAAGGCAATAAAAAGGACATACATAAAGGAGTATAGCAT